GAAAGTAGATTCAATTACCTTTAATTGGATAGGTTATGGCTCACGTAACTCTTAATATTCTAAGAGATATGGTCGTTTAAAGTTGACCCAAGCAGAATCTTACATCAAAACTTAATGAAACTTCAAGAACACTTATCAAGAACTCATCAAGAACTCTAATCTTTAAATTTCAAGAACGAAATTACGCTGAATAAATCATGATTGGCGTGTGGGTGAAAGAATCCAACACTATGGAAGCTTACATACCTCTTAGGGATTAAACCCATGGCGAAAATCCGCAACAAGATGCAAGAATCTCGACGAACGCTTTCATCCTTTCTCTTTTCTCCTCTTTTCTCTTCTTCTTTTCTCTTCTTGAATTCTCAACTAAAACCCTAGGCGTATTTTAGGATTATAAAACTGAACCTAATAGGATTAGACCCTTAAAATATTACTAAAAACGAATTAAATCTGATTGGGTAAGGAAAAGACCAAAATACCCCTCTCTATTTTCGGCTAACCTTCCTTAACTGGTCAGCCTATCTTCAAAAGGCCATATCTCACTCATCCGACCTCGAAACTTAGCAAACTCAGCGGCGTTGGAAAGATAATTTAAAGATCTTCGCTACGGTATCTGGTAGCACACCTAATTCATCCTGAGCTAGGAATTATGGTTGTTTGAAGTCGACCCAAAACTCATACTTAAGCATAACTTGCAAAATTTCAGATTTTGCTATTTCCAATTTAATTCTTTTTAAAACTCAAGGTGCTACATCTAGTGACCTTAACACTTAAGAAATTTTAAATTCCTTGGTAAAATCTCACTCACTACGAAGAACGGTTCGAGTCTTAGTTCGAAAATTTTCTGGGGTGTTACAGGTTAGAGCCTTTGCGTCGCTTTTTCCACCCTCAACACACATGATTGCACTTGTTGTTGCATCGAAATTTTGTATCTCTTAATCACTTTTATCAGAGGTATCAATGCATAGAGGATACATACCGAATCCCACCTCATCTTTCTTAATTTCTATGCACAATTTCACCCCCATATCATTCCGAATACACAATGGAGACGAATTTCCTTCAACAACGTATCTGACCTCAATGTTTTTTTTGAATTCATCAATACCCAATTCAGCTGTAATTGCTGAAATAAGATTCACAAACGAAATATTTTCACAAACCACTATACCATCACTTATGTATCGTTCGTATCTAACATCGCTTTCCCATGATCTAGAATGCCTTAACAAGATCGAAATATTCATGTCGAATCTTCACAAAATAGCGTTCCAAATTTGAGAGAGATAAAACTTTTATTGTTTTTTCGAAAAACAGGGAGAACGTTAGAGGATTAAAAAAAGTAAAAAATAAGCGTGATTTGAAATTAAAAAAAATAATTCAGTTAGACGATTATGAACTATTGATTGGTTGAAGGAAGAAACGTAACCGTGATTTGTGGGAGTCAATTTTAATTTCAGTTTTTAATCCCTTATTTAACGCATTAAACTGATAACAACAACTTACTAATTTAAGTATCAGCGCGTTATAAATTAAAGTATCAACGCTCCTATATTATGTATCCGGAAAACACTAAATAAGGGATTTTTGGTAATTAATGAAAGAGTAGAGAAAAGAAGTAATTTCTTTCCTATACTATGTCATTTGCCTAATTTTTACATAAAAAAATAATAATCTAGAATGACCAAAATAGCCTTTGGTAGGCAAGCTGGCAGGACAACTGCCAGATGTTGCTTCTAGGACAACAACCAACAGCTTTCCTAGGACGACATACAAAAAATATTGGTAAACGTTTGAAATTCTATTAGTTTCACAACAGAGTTAATAACATATATTATCTAAAAATGATATAAAAAATATTATAAATTACATTAATTAACAATTCAAAAATTTAGAAGATATATAAAATATTTGGTTGGCTCTTGAATTCTATTAATACCACATAAATTAAGACATATAAAATATTATTAATAATTACATAAAAAGTACTAAAAATCATAATAATTATCAAACTTAAAATATCTAAAAAGTCTATTTAAAATTTGATTAATCCTCTAAATTATATTTACTTCACATAAAAACAAAAAAGTAATATAAATTGACCCATACTAACACGAGTACCGATATCTAGTCTAAAAGCAAAGCGGATAGCATCCGTAGCCCCTAAAGATCCGATCAAGTATAATTAGGTCAAGTAATGTTCAATGACCTTATAGATTCATGTCATATGTACTATATAATAATTTATAGTTGAGATTCATTTAAATTATATACTCATCTTAATAATAAAACAACAAAGCTGTCAACTATTTTTATTTTTTAAAACTATCAAATAAAGCAATTAAGTATACCCAAGCTAGAAGAACCACCATGAAACTTGGGTTCAAATCTAGCTACAACACTATTTTATTGTTTTTATTTTTCAAGTTTATCTTAGATCTCATATTTGAGTTAAGGTAATATTGTGCACTCGAAGTTTTCAAATTCTGGATTCGCCTCTATCCACCTGGCATTCTACATGGTAATTTACGTCCTACATATATTATATCACATAAAACTTATGTGTTTATTTATTCAACTTTATACAACTTTATGTTGTGCCATTTATTTAAGGTTGATTTAAGTCAAATGTAACTAAAAAATAAACCCCTTTGAACGCAGGGGGTCGGGACCACCACCAATGGGAAAGGCCTTAATAAGTTCCAATGTGTCACCTTACGTCTGCTTGCTTACATGTTCCCTCATTAAGTCTCCCTTTTTGTACTATACAGAAAAAAACGACAGATAATTAAATGTTGTATCAACTCTCAAGTGTTATATATAGGAGAATTATACACTATCTTAATTGCTCTCAACTCTCAAGTGTTGTATCAAACTTTGCTCCTTTAATGGCTGATGCTATGAGAAACACAAATTATGCCCATGGCCGAAACTCCATTAATGGTCAGATCAATTTCACAAGCATTACCATTAATATTAATTATTCTCCTACTCAACAAGATCAATACATATTCGTATCCCCTTCTTCTTCTTCTCAACGCAGAAACATACTAATCTCTTTCATTTTCCCAGCTATGGTTGAACTTCTCCAACTCATGTACCAACCAAGTAATACCTCCCCTTTTGAAATCCACCCTATAAACATGTATTTATCCGTCACCAGTTTCCTCATTTACTGTTTTGCCTGCGATGCTCAGCTCAAATACATTTCAACAACTAATTGTTCAAACTATGCTAAAATTGTTGGGGATGTATTTGGTCCTCTCACATTTGCATCTTATTCCTCTGTTGTTTACCCTCCATTTTCCTTCATTTTCTACTCACTCTGTATCTTATACTCTGCATCTCAGTTGCTAAACAGAACACTTGTCAAAGCACAATTATATCGCCTTTATCACAAATTCCTGAATTATTTGGATAAACCAACAATGACCATAACATATCAAGTGTAATTCCACAGATGAAATCCGGCAAAGGTGATGCATGTCCAGACTGTTTAGTCATACTTGCTCAATTTAGTAGCTACTTTTCTATTAAGCACGTGAATGTTTTGTGTGATTCGGTTTTGAATAAAGCCTTTCAAATGATTGGGGACTTATGGTTGAGCTAGGTTTTGGACTGACAAAATCTATGCCCATTATCTTAATATTACTACATTGTACTTGTGTTTTTGGATATCTCAATTTGTTGATGGTTTGTTCAGAGAATTATTAAGATATTAATTTATCAATTATTAATGGGATTTATTGATTCAATTATATATTAACTATTGAGATTTAACACCAAAAACGTCATTGAAATACATTTAGAAACAAAATAACAAATCAAATGAATCACTATACCTAAGTTTGCTCAAAATATAATCAGTGGCGGATCCAAGGATTTTACCGCTATGGGTGCTCACTATTTTTAACATAAACTTGAGCACCCACTTACGACCAACGCGCCAACTGAACCGTTTGTTGCATGGGTGCTTATTTTGACACTTTTTGCTTACGTGACATAATGAGTGTGATACACCATTTTAGTTAATTTTTAATTATTTTTTTCTTTTTTCTTTCCCATTGTCAGCCACCATTTTACCTAATTTATCAGCAAAAATGACGTAAAATGTTTTTAAAATTTAAGAATAAACACATTCATGAAATTCTTTCTTGGAAGAATTTAATATTTGTAGGAAAGTGAATTTATGAAGATTGATAAAGTTTATCTTGATAATTTACAGGGGAGTGAATTTCTTTAAACTAAGATAAAAATTTCTTTGAACTAGTAAAAATCTTCTATACACTATCAAGCAATGGTGTGCAGATGTGGGGTGGCCGGGTGGGCATAGTTTCTACAAAAGGGATAGGGGCTTTTGGAGAAGACAAGTATCGGATATTTGGAGGTTTTTATTTTTGGTAATGAAAATTTCACAGGGTGCCCAAAACAGAGGTTTGGGGGGTTAAAAAAGAACTACTGAAATTTGTTAAAGAATCATTGAGATATTGACTTATGGATTATTAATTTATCGATTGGATTATCAGTTTAACTATAGAGATTTAACACCAAAAAAGTCATTTAAATACGCTTAAAAATAAGATGACAAATCAATTAAATCATGTAAATGAGTTGATAAATTGTATTTTTGCTCAAAACAAAGATGGACAAATTATAAAAAAATCGAGAGTTTGATACCCATCAAAGACTTTATATGGCAATGATATAAATATAATTTTATTATTGGTTGATATAAACAAACTGTCGTCTCCAACTTTGGTCTGCAACTGTAAAGGGTCAACTCCCAAAAGATAGCCTCGTTGGTCCCCCAGAGTATTGTTACGGGTGGCTCCCGCCTTAAATTACCTACTTCGCCGCCGTCAGGATGTCACATTCCGACAATCTTCACTCTTTCTTATTCCAGGTTCTTCATACAATCAATAACAATTTTAATTTCTTAAAATCTCCAACTTGGGTCTATCCATTTTTGTGTTAATTGAGCTAATTTTTTGTTCATACTGCAGTAAATTTATGGTTAAAATGTCGATTCACTCAACCCCATCTGGGTCAGCAATCCCAATTGACGCCATTGTTGTGTGTACTCATCTAGTCCTCTTTATTACCTCTTGATTATCAATTCTTAAGATTTTCTTAGATTTGGTTTATCTAATGACTCGCTCTGCTTCAATTTGTTTGTCTGATTTTGACTTGATACGGAATGATTGGACAAAAATAAAGTAGGACAAATAAATTGAAACGACAGATTTAACTTTTATTTTTTGGTGGTTGAAGCAGTTGGGTTGTGGGATGGTGGCATTGGACTACTTGGTTACTGTTGATTCTTATCCTAAGCCTGATGATAAAATTCGTAGCACCAGTTTTCAGGTCTAATTGATTTGTCTATGCTATTAATCTGAAAGAATGAGCTCAATTTTTTTATTTTTAATTGGAATTTTAATGGATAATTTTGCTCTGTGTAGGTTCAGGGAGGTGGGAATACTGGGAACGCTATGACTTGTGCAGCTCGTTTGGGTTTAACTCCAAGAATTATATCCAAGGTCTGAACTTTATGTGGCTTCTTGTTGCCTATTCCTTTTTTTCATTTCCGAGATCTTTCCCACGAGATAGTGGTAAGGTCTATGTATACTCTACCTTTGATTCTGCTGCTTTACTGTTCCTGCCACCGTTGTATCATTGATTGTCTTCCTTGATGTTCTTAGTTTTCCCTTCTATCCACGTCCAACACTTCCACAATTATGTGAATAATATTCTCTAGATTTCCCACAATTTTTTTAGTAGGTCGCGGATGACTCTCAAGGGAAAAGAATATTGAACGAGCTAGAAGCTGATGGCATTGATACATCTTTTATTGTGGTGAGTCAGCCACAGGTTAACTGTGAAAGTCTTTGTGCATCTTGCACTTTTCTCTTCTATGCGAGGATGATGTAGCTTGCAGCACGCCTTTTCACTCAATTAAAATTTTTGAAGCATCAAATTTACGTCGTTAACATCATATTATAACATAGTTCAGGTGTCCAAAGGGTGCCATTCAACAATCTCTTATGTCATTGTTGACAGTCAAACGTCAGTACTCAACTCTGTTTAATGCCATTTTAGTAAATGTTTTATAGTCATTTATTGAGCTTTCTCTTGGGTGATGAGATGGATGATTTATGAGTACTGTTTTTGCAAATTCATTTCGTAGACATATTCTTTTGATATACTATTTGATTTACTATTAGATGTCTAGATCAGCTACAATATTAAAACTATTCACACGGAATTCATCGTTTTAGAATATGCTATATGCTAGTAGACTCCAATGTGGATAAGTATTTATTCATAAGCAAAATATGTCCTGTGACTTCTTTTTTCCCTCTCTTCTTTACTAATTCCTCAAGTACAAAAATGGCCTGTTGGCTACATTTCTGTTCGAAATTTCTTTCTGCCATAAGTCCAAGGGGAAACAAAGGTCATTTCTATCTTTACTGCATGTTGGTCCTTATAATTGGACAGATAATCGTTCTGTAACTTGTTCTGCTGAAGCTGATATTTGTTGTACGATATCTCAGGACAACACGAACTTCCATCTATACACCAGGGTATCCACCCATCACCCATGGTAGCTGATGATTTGCCAGACTCGAGTTTGTCGTCTGCATTGGATGGTGCAAGGCTTGTCTATACTGATGGAGTACTTCATGAAGCCGCTTTAGTTGTGGCCTAAGAGGTCATTTTTAATGGTCTTCCTTGTTATTTAATTCGAGCTTCTGCTTGCTAATGGAATGTATTTACAATCAACTTCTGATCATATTTCTAGTCTTCCACTAAGCTCCGGCAGACCAAGAGCACTGGCCATAATTCTGTTTCTAGCGTTTGTTCTTAATGCCTCAGGACTTGCTGATTATTTTCAGCTAAATGGAAAAAACTGTATGCCTTTTGATCTCTAGTGCAGGCACATCAAAGGAGTATACCAATTGTGATTGATGCAGAAAGAAAAATAGAAGGGTTGGATGAGCTTCTACACTTGGCAACCTACATTGTTTGCTCAACAAAATTTCCACAGGTAAGCTATTTACTCTGGCAGACTGACCTTCGATGATTTATTTGTTGCACATTTTGATTGAACTTCCATGGATCTACTATATAAGATTAGTATTGGTTGGCAAGTTTTTGTTTGTATGGAAAATTAAATTTGCTATACTTTCTCTCTTCTAGTGATGTGTTTGTCTAAAATATTTATAGCAACTGTTGTGAATAGAATATCTTTTTTCCATTGTTGTACCATGTAATCATGGAATAGAATTGATTTTGGTACGATATCTAATAGAAGTGAATGTCTTCCTTTGCGTCTCGGTTCCATGATCGAAGTCCCCTTACAGTCTTTCATAAGTTAAGCATGTGAAAATTGAATAAAGCTGTATTGTCTCTCAGATATGGACCGAGGCTCCTTCTATAGCAGGTGGACTAATTTCCATACTTCTAAAGTTACCAACTGCCAAATTTGTAATTGCAACATTGGGTGAAGATGGCTGCATAATGCTAGAAAGAGCAGAGAAGTATATTTACAGGGGATATCCAGCCTGAAGAAGTTGATATTGATGACTTGTTTGAAAAAATGAAGCAGAGTATTGATACTACCTCAACCCTGCCAACATGCAAAACCTCGGTACGTAGTTTGCCCTTCAGTTGTGAGATTTTCTTGCTCAATGCAGAAAGAAAGTTTGATGGTAATGCACATAAAAGTCAATTTCTACCTTGTAGTTAGACATTGTTTACACCGTAGGATTGGAAACTATAGGACTTTATTTAAGTATATCCAGGCATAAGAAGTATTTGGAGCTTTTGTTGTACTTCATCAGCTTCAAAAGTTAATGGCTTATATGGAAATGTCTATTTGGGTTGAGGCATGTGTGAAATGTTCTCTAAACGTGCATCTCTTGTAGATTAAAGATGAATAACCCCCCTCCAGTTTTTTGAGAATTCATGTAACTTATCACTCTCAGATCAGCAAACTTAGATTTTTATAAAAGATCTCTTGAGGATTCTAAAGAAATTTAAGCTAGAGTAGTTAAAAGATTATTTGGTGTTTGATAACGTAGGTCAAAATATATGTATTATTCCAGGATATTGCAAAGCTGCACGCGAAAGGGATTGGGACTGTGTGTGGTAGGCTGCTCGTGGGAACAGCTAAAAAGATAACCATTTTCGGAAATAGTTGATACAACTGGTGCTAGAGATGCATTTGTTGGAGCAGTTCTTTATTGTACGTGAAATAATAGTATAGTTAGTATACTATGCGCCTTTTCGCAACCGCTCTTGCTGCAACTGTTCTTACTTTAGTAGTGTGGCATCTCCGCTGTTCTCCCTATGCTTGTTGCTGCTAGGGATTTAAAGTGTCTTAACAATTCCTGTTTCAATTATGCTTCCATGATCATTTAGTAGGCGAGTATCAAGCGACTAATTCATGCTGTTATGTGTTGTTATTTATGTCTTTGTCTCATGGTTTTCCTTGATGTATTTGCAGCTCTCTGTGCTAATTTCCCACCTGAAAAGATGCTGATGTTTGCTTCGCAAGTGGTAAGTAAACATGAAATATACTTAATTTTAATGTTGGGCTTAAATTATAGAGGAAGAGTTCCATTACTGAAATGGTAAAAGTTAAACACTGTAAACAAGAGGCGGATGTAACATACTGTATCGTGTTCATCTAAACCTAGTACTTTGGACGTAAATTGCAACAAATAGTATATGAACCCATAACTTTAAAGATAAAATAGGTTCAATACTAAGAACCTTAAATATTGAACCCATAAAACTTAAATCATAACTCCGCCTTAGCCATGAATCATTTATCAAAGAATGACTCTGGTTGTCAAATGTTTGAACAACCGGGAGCAATTTACTTACAATACTTAGTTGTCATTCATAAAAATATATCTAATGAATTATGAGTTCAATCCATCCTTTTTAGCATAAAGATGGATGTTCTTTGCTCATTATCAGAACAATCTCTTATTCAAGCTTCGTATGGGGACAATAGTGCTCATTTCCCCATCTCATGAAAAACCCTTTTTGTTTCACTTAGCCTTATCCCCTAAGAGGATATTTTAGTACTAGGTTCTATAGAAATCGGAGATCACGGGTTCAAGTCATAGAAATGACCTCTTGTAAAAATACAGGATAAAACCAGCGATCTATATTAGACTTTATGTAGTTCACTATTCTTGAAATTTTGCATATAAAAGGAGTTTAGTGCAATAAAATGTCGTATTATTTTAGACAATATATTAAGAGAAATTAATTTGTGGATTGGTTTAGTGCAATAAACTGTCGTACTAATTGTTATGCATTTTTCATTGTTTTTTCTTTTCTTTTATGTGGATTTGATGCACTTGAGCTAAGGATATTTCGGAAACAGCCTCCCTACCTCTACGAGGTAGTGGTAAGGCCTCCGTTTACTCTACTCTCTCCACACCCCACTTTGTGGAATTTCACTGAATATGTTGTATCAGTTAAGCTGAATGACAACAACAGGTAGCCCTTTATAAAAAATCTAATGTGGTAACATGGATAGTTAAACTGTTAGTGCAAAGATCAGTTAAGATGTTAGTGCTTCAAGTTAAATCCCTCATGCAACAGACGAACCAAAATTGGAAGTAAATCTTAGAAGTTTTACTCCCTTCGTTTTAATTTATTTGTCTGCTTTTTGACTTGGCACAAATCTATATATACATAAAGGAGAAACATAGAGAAGGTGATGTGGCACTCTCTATGATCTCCATTCCCATTTTTCTTTTTTCTCTTTTTTTGGCCCTTTTTCATATTTAAAATATTTAATTTATTGTGAAAGTATTATTTAATTTATTATAAATAAATATTATATTAATGAAGAAACATTTATGTATATCAAAGACTCATCACATGCCAAATATTTTTTTTACAAAATTGAATGCCTAAAAATTTACTACTCCACTCAATTCTCATAATTTGAAAAACTAAAAGTATCATCAGTTTTTTTTTTTTTTTTGCCTCGTGGGTATTTTCTTATTATATAAAAAATAAAATAACAATTATTATTACTATCTATAGCCTTCATTCCTATTTTTCCTTCTTTGGGCATTTGTTAGTTTTTCTCCTCATTTTTAATGTAATTAATATTTATATAATTGTTGAATAATTAATCTTTTATTGTAAATATGTTATATTAATGTAGATATCCATAATTTCAAGATGTAATTCCACCATTATGTGTATTAAACTCACACCTCCACCACCTCCTCTTTTATCTTCCACACCCCTTAACCTTCCCCACATTCTCAAGAATTAATACCATGTTTATTGTTATCTCTTTATATGTCTTTATGTAACAATATAAATAGAGGTCTTGAGGATTATGTTTTGCACTTGAAAATTTGAGAAACACTTGAATATACTAGGAAGAATAAGAAAACTCTTCTATCTTATCTCTCTACATTTTTTGTCTACTTTCTTACTTATATTATTACTTCTTTAGCTTAATTTGAAATATGTTTTGATTCTTGGATAGTCACATCTAATTGCATTTACCTTCTAGACTAGAAAAGATGTATTAATACCTTGTAATTGTTCAATGTAATTATATACGATGAAAATCCATTGTGATCTCCCAATAAGTATGAGATTGTTACAAACAAATTCAAAGAGACAAAAATCTACGTGAAGACTTCTACTATTAAATATTATTTTGGTTATGAAGCTGCATTTTCAAGGTAATAATTTGCCCACTTCTTTCTTTTTTGGTTGTTTTTGAAGTAGTATAAATATTCAATAGTGTGAAAAATATTTTGAAGTTTTAAAAATATAATACTTTCAAGTACTTTATTTTTTGCTTTATTTTCAGTTTGTCTTTGATTCATTTAGTTGAAGAAAAAATTGACAATGGTTTAAATTATCTTTATGTCCAATGCGATGGACATAAAAAGTAAACCTACACTAAGGTATTAAAAACATTTTATTCTTTGCCTTTTTTTCTTCTTTTATTCAATATAAATGCATAATTATTTTATACCTTTCTTTTTATTTATATGTAGCTTGTTGATGAT